CTTTTTGCTGTATACCAAGGCTGAATTTGTCTTGCAACTAGTCAAAACCTGTTTTCAGAACTTCTCACAGTGAAAGGTTGCTAATGATTCAAACAAAAAATTGTCTCTTGCAGTGACCTTTTGGAAATGATGATCAGGCTAACTCCTTTTAGGTTTGTGTGCTTCATAAAAAAAAAAAAAAAAGAAAAACATGTGTGTGGTGTCCCAATTATTGTGGACATTAGCAGGACTGAGGAATAGAACATGGTTCTATTCTCTAGCAGAGAATCTAGGTGTTTGGATCTGTACCGACTTTGTCTGGAATGTGGTGCTTGCCCACATGAACAAAAATGGATGTGTTTTTAGAGGCTCATTACCTTCAAAATGAGAGAAGATGGAATTAGGATGAAGCAGAAGGAAAGCATAAAGTGAGGACAGCACATGACTTAATTTCATTTCTATCATTACAACTGTTTGTGAAAAACATGCTAGAATCTTTTCAACACATTGCCTAGTATTATGTAATATAGTACTAAGGAAATATCTTTGTTAATGTAAAGTAAATCCCTAAACATTTTTCTTTGATAACATGTTCCTTCTTGCATTGGCCATTGCATTTTCTTCTTGCATGTTCTCTGAACCCTTTGACTACTGCAGTAACATTGTAGATCTTCTTGTGTACGAGGTTTCATTGTGCTAGGTGTTGTGCAAGCTCTGTCCAGAATATCCTGATCCAAGGAATTTACAGTTTAAAACAAAACACAACAAGAGATAAAAGGAATGAGTGTCTGTCTTTGCTCTAAATCAGTGATGTATATGCTATTGTGTGCATGGTGAAATGTGTACATCTCGTTTTACATTGCTATGAATGGAAATTGCAGGATTATCAAGAAATCTGTCACTAGATTAATAGTTTTTCTCTTGCCTTTGTTTGTTCTAACCTCTGAAAGATGATTGCCTTTAGGATAACAGAGAAGGATACTCAGTGGATTTTGGAAATGACTGAATGTCTTTTTCCTTTAGAGATAATAAAGCGCCATTGAATGTAGATGCTCCATTAAAAATTTCAATCTGCTTTGCCAAGTGTTGAGTGCCAAGTGCACTGTGGCCTTTCACAGTATCAATGTTGAGCAAAACAGTAATGAATAGCTTGTCAGGCAGGTCTACCTGTAGTTAATCCCTTGGTATTCGGCATTTTTTTAGAAAGGATCTGAACCAGAATGGACTCTCTTTCTGAAATACAGCCCAGAAACAGGTGCTAATTATTTACATACTATTAGATTCAGTGCACTGTTGAATGCACAGTTAATCCTTATTATGTATGAGTTGTTGATAAATTTTAGTTTGGCTAGGTTTAATGTAATTTTCTGTTCTTTTCAGACAAAAAAATGTTCACAGTTGTCTGAAATCACTAAAGTGTTGCTGTTAAAGAGGTTGCCCAATATTTTATCTCTTAAAAGTTCCCACCCAGATTGCAAACTACAGTGCTGATTTAGCTTCAGTGTTCCTCAAATTCCACAAAGGTGTTTGCTTTTTCCCTCCTTCACTGTGTAGAAAGATGCTGGAGGATGCTCTAGGAGCCTCCCAAGGGTCATTCTTAGCCCACCAGTGGCTTAGAGTGTGATAAATTCTCTGTCCATGTTATGGAGAGGTTTTGCAAAGATCAGCTGAGATTAATTCACTTAGGTTATATAAATCTGGTTGTATTTGCTGACTCTAGTTGTCTCACACAAGATTGAGGCTTTTTTTGTGTATATTGGTGTCAAGTGCCAGGAATAAAGGAGCTATGAACATGCAGCAATTTTGTAGTTGTGCTGGTTTTGGCTGGGATGGAGTTAATTTTCTTCATAGTAGCTAGTATGGGGCTATGATTTGGATTTGTGCTGGAAACAGTGTTGATAATGCAGGGATGTTTTTGTTACTGCTGAGCAGTGCTTACACAGAGTCAAGGCCTTTCCTGCTTCTCGCACCACCCCACCAGCGAGGAGGCTGGGGGTACACAGGAAGCTGGGAGGGGACACAGCTGGGACAGCTGACCCCAGCTGACCAAAGGGCTATTCCATACCATATGACGTCATGCTCAGCATATAAAGCTGGGGAAGAAGAAGGAAGGGGGGGGGACATTTGGAGTGATGGTGTTTGTCTTCCCAAATAACCGTTACACGTGTTGGAGCCCTGCTTTCCTGGAGATGGCTGAACACCTGCCTACCGATGGGAAGTAGTGAATGAAGTCCTTGTTTTGCTTTGCCTATTAAACTGTCTTTATCTCAACCCATGAATTTCCTCACTCTAACTCTTCCATTTCTCTGCCCCATCACACTGGGGGGAGTGAGCGAGCAGCTGTGTGGTGCTTAGTCACTGGCTGGGGTTAAATCACATCAGTTGTTAAGGCAAAGGCAGAAAAGCCTGTTCAGTAAAAATCAGCCAGACAGTGCAAGATTGTTTGCTTAGCTCGTGGCTAGAAGTTCAGACTGGAAGATAAGTGTTCAGTTCAGTCCCTCAGTCAGTCCTTTCTGAAAGATAAGAGATTTAGAGCATTTGTAATTGAAGGGCTTGGTCTAATAACTTTGTTTCATTGATTGAGGAAAGGAAGCCATAAACAAGCTGCAAATCTCTGATATAGGTAGATATATGGGGTTTTTTGATAGATAGATAGATAGATCGATCGATCGATCGATCGATCGATCTTGTGAGTATAAACATAATAAATTTGCCAGGCCTGCATTGCAAATTTAAACTTGTTTCTCAGAATAAAAGCAATTCTTTCTACCAGTAGTAGAGACAACATTTTGTTGTCTAACTAATGTTCTGTTAGGAAAATGCAACCATTCAGTATTGTACCAGCCCAAATGAACTGTTGTGGCACACAATACTAAATCTGAGTGCTAATACTAAATTCGGTGATTGATACCTGAAGTACACAAAATCAGTTTTGCTGCAATGTTGCAGCCTGGATTAAAGTGACATAACGGAGGCATTCTTGCTTATGGCTGCTGTTCCGTCTCCCTTGTAACTAGATTTTTTCAGTGAGATTCAAGATTTTGGTGTGGTACCGTACCAGCATCCTGCTGCCACATTTTCTCTTGCCTGTACCACTGGAACCCGGACTGCAAGCTGCCCTTTCCAGTAGGGTGGTAGTAGAGAATATGATATTTTTTTCTACTTGCTGGGCTTCTTTAAAGTCCTTGGTTTCAAGTTGGGAATTAGCAGATTAAATGAGTGATACCCAGAGTGATTTGTAAGTAGTATTAAGGGAAACATAAAATACATTAAGTTTATTTACTAAAATAAATAATATTAAAAAGGAGGAAGAGCCTGCCTCAATCTCTGAGATCCCTGTCATATATTTTTGTTTTACTAGCAAGTAACAGTTTAAAATTATAAAAATCCAAAGCCAAAAGAGTTAGTCATTTGCTGGCATTTTGAAAGAAATATGTTTCTGTCTTGGTATTACACAATGGTAAAATGACAAGCTGCTAGATAGGTGAAGAAGCACATAGGCACTAGATATTTTAAAAAACCTGTTTAGGCATCTTTTTGTCTTTTTGGGCCCCTAACACCTTTGATAATCTTCAAGTCTTCAGAGAGTTTTTTCAGGATAATTCTGGCTATAAAATGTCTGTTAAGCTGAAAATCCAGTACAACAAACACATTGATAACATGTTATAAATCCTGGCTCAGGGAGGGATTTAAACACATCATCTACTCATGTGCCACACCATGGCCATTGGAGTGCTAGCGTAGTGATAATGTATTGTCACTTAAAAGACATTAACCATTGTAGCAAAGGAACAACTGCCCTCAAAACACCTTTTCATTTGGCACGTTTTATGGGGTGTAAGAAAGTTTATCATCTCCTCCTCCAACTCGTTGTCTCAGTGTTCACTTTTAGGAGATCCTGTCCTGGAAGTTCTCTTTTCTTCAATACTTGACTGTGGTGACTAAGTTGAAGATCAGGCAGTAAATATTTTCTAAGTCCTTAATAATCCTCTGTGAGGGCTGTCTCCAGGTTATTTAGGGAAGGTTTAGGTTGTATATTAGGAAAAACTTCTTCACCAAAAGAGTAGTCAGGCATGGAACAGGCTGCCCAGGGAAGTGGTTGAGTCTCCATCCCTGGAGGTATTTAAAAGACGGCTAGACGTGGTGCTTAAGGACATGGTTTAGTGGTGGACTTGGCAGTGCTAGGTTAACGGTTGGACTCGATGATCTTAAGGGTCTTTTCCAACCTTAACGATTCTATGATTCTATGATTCTATGATTCTATGATTTAACTGTATTTTATCTATTTACATGCCTCTACTAGAACTGTATTCAGATTGTCCTGGATTTGTAACTTTGAAAGCAGGATTGTGGATCCTAACACACTAGCAAAGCTCTGCCATTGCAGTGAGAGAGATTCTGCTAGGTTTACTCTTAGTCCTGTCTAAGAGTATGAGGGATGGATGACTGTGAACATAACAGGCTGTGCAACCAACTCTACCTGTAACATGGAAGGCATTTTCTGTTGGCAAGTATCCTGTGTTTGTGAATCATTGAAAATCCAAAGGAAACTCGGTGTTTGGATCTGTTCCTAGGACCCTCTGAGGTGCCTTTCAAGCCAGGTGTGAATTCCTGAACCATAATCTCAAGACCATCAGGGTCTAGTCTCGTTTTCCACTATGTGAGAGGTGTCCAGCCTCAAATCTTGCTGTCGTTGGTGTGTTTGGGGGCTGTTTGTAAGGTACCTTGACAACTGAATGGAATTCAGATGATTTAGCACAGATTGAAGAATTTGTTTCTGTTTTCTGAATGAGTTGCAGCTAGTCATGATGTCCATCACCAAGACTTTTCCTGCTCCCAGATTCCTGGCCTATGTGTGAGAGCTGCTCTCATCTGGCCTATATGCAAAGTTTTGTGCATATGAATTTATGAACCATTTGGGGATGAATCAGTAAAATATTTTATGATGATCACTGACCTTGTTAGTATTAATGTGAAGAGCTGTGTGGTTCTGATGCCTCTTTTCCCTCTTTTTGTTTCAGTTCATCGCCTTTGCCTCTTTATTCTTCATCCTAGTTTCAATCACAACCTTTTGTCTGGAAACGCATGAAGCTTTCAATACTATTATAAACAAAACTGAGCAGGTCATCAACGGGACAGAAACTGTGCTACAGTATGAAATTGAGACAGATCCTGCCCTGACGTATGTGGAAGGAGTCTGCGTGGTATGGTTTACATTTGAATTTTTAGTACGTGTTGTTTTTTCCCCCAACAAACTTGAATTCATCAAAAACCTCTTGAATATCATTGACTTTGTGGCCATCCTGCCCTTTTACCTAGAAGTGGGCCTGAGCGGGCTCTCCTCCAAAGCTGCTAAAGACGTGCTTGGTTTCCTCAGGGTGGTAAGGTTCGTGAGGATCCTGCGAATCTTCAAACTCACCCGGCACTTTGTGGGACTCAGGGTGCTGGGCCACACTCTGCGAGCTAGCACCAATGAATTTTTGCTGCTGATAATATTCCTGGCACTTGGTGTTTTGATATTTGCCACCATGATCTACTACGCAGAGCGGGTGGGAGCCCAGCCTAATGACCCATCAGCAAGTGAGCACACACAGTTCAAAAATATCCCTATCGGCTTCTGGTGGGCTGTAGTCACCATGACCACCCTGGGATATGGGGATATGTATCCACGAACCTGGTCAGGCATGCTGGTGGGAGCCCTGTGTGCACTGGCGGGGGTGCTCACCATTGCCATGCCCGTGCCTGTGATAGTTAACAATTTTGGGATGTACTACTCCCTGGCCATGGCAAAGCAGAAACTGCCGAGGAAGCGGAAGAAGCACATCCCTCCTGCTCCTCAAGCCAGCTCTCCCACCTTCTGCAAGACAGACTTGAATATGGCCTGCAATAGCACACAGGGTGACATCTGCCTGGGCAAGGACAACCAGCTGATGGAGCACAACAGATCATCAGGTAGGACCCCACTGGAAATGCATGTCCTCTGAAAACACTTTATAGACCAGTATGTTTGGTAGGGGTCAGAAAGCAGCCAGTCTTTCTGCCAGGAGAAGATGTAGCTCCCACCCTTCTCCCCTCCAGTGTTTGCGTGTGTCAGTCTCATAGAGGACAAAGTAGGTATAGCGATGTTCCCAAACCTCTATGTAGCTGGTCTATACAGTTTTGCTTGCTCTGTTGAAAATGTTTTCCTGCTG